TGGTGCCCATAGAGACGCGCTGCTGCAGCACCAGCTCTGTGATGCAGCTGACCCCTGACCCCACCACATCTGCACCATCTTTCTCGCGATGTAATCACTCTGGCCAACTCGTGGTGTCGAACGACGGCACCGTTATTTGCGTCCAAAAAGAAAACGATGATAAAAGTGCTCTGCAATTCACTGACCGAGACATTTTCTATATTGATGATCCCGGAAAGATATGTGACACTAAAAATTTGCACAAGAATGATGCTTGCGAGGTAGCTGCTCAATTGGCGCATGATTGAGATCATGCGAAAATTGACGAATCTATCCTACCGACATTTGGTCCTTCATCACACAAGGATCCTGATCATCCCGAACTTGTCTAATCATCCAGACGAATGTCCTGTAAATAGTGAACACAAATATACCGCGGATGATTACCGGTGAGATACTGTAGAAGTTAATATTCAACCTGAAAATCAACACTAAAATAAGAGAGAAACATTGTCGAGGAACAACAAATTTCACCCTTATTGCGTGGTGTTAGCTGTTCAGTCTTAAATTTGACTCATAAACAATGAGACTGACTTAAATTTGACCAATGAAGACTCATAATGCAATAAAGCCTTTATCTTATGGGATCAGCCATAATGAGATACCATCAAGCATGGACCAATAGGCACTTTTTTCGGCCATTATCACACAATTCAATATTTTGAACCTCTGTGGCTCAAAAATAATGAGTTGCCTTTTTTAACGTTCTTTACCTCCAGTAATATTGGAGCATCATTAAGTCTCAATCTCTGAATACTTACTACTTGGTAGACGCTAGCGCCCCTGCAGAACACTAGCGATTAGAGGCATTACCTTGTTTGTTGATACGAGTACAATGTAATTCCTACCGGAATTTATTACAACAATTATCGCCAAAATGTATTACTATCGAGTCCGTAATTTTCTGTAGCGTGTCATACTTTACTCGAAATGTTTACATGTTATTTGGTTCCAGTTTAAATTGAGGAATAACATTTTTATTCTTAACTAGAGACAATTTTTTACTCAACAAGCCACCCATTTGAGGCCGGGACTGCAATTATATTGAATAAAGCCAATGCATTTGTAATTTTACAATAACCTTAGTTTGGTAAGTGACATGTACAATGTAGTTATTAAATTACGTTTTTTTTGTTAAGTTCCATTTGGCAATTTTTTAATTCCATGTATCGTGTTTATTGAACGCAGAGAAATATGTTTGACTAATTAGAAAATTATTTTTACGTGTTTGTCTGCAAATTTTGCTCTTTTTAATATTTTCTGATCTTGTTTGGTTAAGAACATGTTTCTTACCTTATAAGTAAGTTGTATGTACGTGTGGTGCCAAAAAGCCATTGACAGTTTTCAGTTTGTATCAAAGTGAGCACTTCGATTTATAAAGCTTCCGGTCTGCGCGGATCAGGTCTGATGAAACCAACATTTCTCTTTAGTCTTGTCTCTATTAATCAAAGCTTCATGTTAAAATACTATTTAGTACTAGTATAAATCTTGTCAAGCGAACAGTCATATATGAGGCCTGTCTTGCCACTCTTGTTACTTGAAAACCTTATGATGTTTATTAATTTGAAATGCTCTCCCGCGCATCGAATTTAAGCGAGCAAATTTAACTTTAATCAAGCATATACGTACTTTATTGTTCAATGTGAGCCTAATATTTTACAAGAGCTTTAAATGTTCTGAAATGCTTTATCGCATTAAATTGAAGCCAGCAAACTTTGCTACATGAATCAAATATTCTTTATTACTCAGTGGGAGCATATTAATTGTAAACGAGCTTTAAATGTCGATAATATATTTGCAGTAAGTTATTAACTAATGAGCGTTTACTATTGAATCATGATCGACGTATTTCGACTAAGATGAAAGCTAAGGTGTTATTCTTTCTATGCGTTGAACATATCTCGTATAATGAATATCATCTTGTGAAACGTGAATAATTTCATTTAAAGCTCCTTTTTTGTTCTTGGAAAACTGATTTGTTACTAATTTTATTACCTATCCTTTGTAAAATTTTGTCACCAATCAAACGAAAAGTTTTTGACAAATTTTGTGTCGTCGTGGAAAACGAACTGGAGTTGATTTGAGGCAAGTTAAATTTTTTACAGTATTTTTTTATTTTCAACGACTTTCTCTAAATTTGTGTTGATTAGTTGAAAACTTTGAATGCATTCATTTACGTACGTACAAAACTGCACAAAAATCTTGCAACCGCTCTTACAAACTGATCATAAACTTAATGTAGATGCCCTAGTTTACCAACAAACTGAGAAAGTTTATTTGTCTTGGGCAATCCATAAGTTCAGAATCTCATTATGTTCGCTGTATTATGAAACTTGCCGTCAACTCTTGTAACGTTTTCAAAACTAATATCAATCTTCGTAAGTACGAAACTCAATGTTTTTAATCGTGTAATATACGATTAGCTTAAACTTCTCGAGAATTTGTCTATACAGGCTAATAAAATGTGTTCAATATATCTTAAACATATGCGCAACGTTTCACGATCGTATTTGATTTGGCCATGGCTCCATATATTCGCATTAACTTCATTACAACTGTGACACTTGCAGTAACTTTGTTACTTTATTATGTTGTTACGGTGACCACAAGCTGTACGATCATCGTGAAATTGAATGCTACATCTTCGAATAAATTAAATTTGTTCGATAAGCGATAGCAATTGTTGACGAAGTAAGTGTGCCATCAATTTTCCCTGGTCAATTTGTACGCACGTTATTTAACGTACAATGTATATTGTCATACGTAATGTGCAAAATTGAAACGATTGCTAAATCAATATAGTTTTTTGTGAAATAAGGTATGAACAACTTCGTAAATGTCTTTGACTTGCATGCCATCAATGCCAAACTTGATTGTCATTCAGCATATTAATCCTTAATTTAAGAACCTCCTAGTCATTTACTTTTATACGTGTCGTGTTTTTCGCTAGCAGGGTGCTTAAAATAGACTATATTGTTTCTTTTGAAATTCTACGTGAATTTTTTCTAAAATAAGACTCCATCTGATATTAATCTTAAATATTAAATATTATATTTGAGTATAGTTATACAAAAATGTCGCCGTTTTCGCATGCGATTTTGGTAATCATTTCTTTGTTTAGTGAAATGACAATTATCGACTAAGCATACAAATCACACCTCAAAACTGTACTCTTCCGAAATCAGCTTCAAACCATTTTAACATAAACTCTGAGCTGCACTTTGTCTGAAATTCCAAAAAATCTTGCCTTGAATGAGGATTCAAAGATTTCGATTGTTTACTAACGAGCTCATCTGACTTAGCTGCTGATACCATATAAAAGCAATGTTACCGCTAAGAATTTATCTGTGTCAGTATCTTTTCGTTTAGATGTACTCAATCCTCGATGTTGATCCGCTGATATATGTTGCCTTTCTGTATGAAATTGAAAACTTTACAACACATACTTGAACGAAGTTTTTTTTTTTCTTATATCCTATGCGGTCCTCAGCTTTTTTATTGTTGGTTCACTAATTAATTGAATGAAATCGTGAAATTGCAAGAATCCGCGTTCATTTTTATTTTCTTTTAGGACTTGATTTGCGGAGATTTGGCGCTGGAAAGTATTACGCTCAGCTTCCATTTTCTGCGAAACTATTTGCGGGAAACGCAGCCGTGCACCACCAATTTTGTGCACCAATAAGCCCTGAATCGAACGCCTTGGATCTCTCCGGACATCCACCAATCAGCCGTGAACCACTCGGCTTTGTCTCCTCCGGCCTCGCATAGAACCTGCCGTGCACCACCAGGCCGCGGATCGAATCTGACTTCCGGGCATCGTTAAATTACGTAATTTTACGTTTACCGCATCTGAGGTTAGGTTTCAGATAGCATAGTTCTGTTCCAAAATTCATCGTCCTTCGACAAGTGGCCGTTCGACCGAGGGCTGGTTCGACCCATAGCCTAGATACGGACGGCTTGAAGTGTTGAAGGCTACGTTCTGGAAGGCATGGAATCATGATGGTCCATTACATCCAGGGCAGTGGTGGTCTTCGGTAGGCGATCCCTATTTGCGTGATCGGATCTTTGCCGAGAATTTGATCATTCTGGTTGCAAATTCTCAAGATGATGGATAACTATCACTAATTTCCGTTAGATCTCTCACTCTAAGGAGAATTTCACTAGAGAGACTAGAGAATCTGATAAATGGAATAAATGGCCAGAATGACGATCGAAGATTGTTAGCAAAAAATATTATTTTCGGCTATAATCATCAAGAAACATCTTATAAAGGCTTGACTTCTCAACCAGCTCAAAATCGTATACTTTCATTCGGTTTATTCTTTATGATAATATTTTCTTTTGATGGATTGGATGGCACATAAATGTCACTGAGTAACTAGTGGATATCTCGTGTATAAACCTGCAGACTTTGTAAGCTAAGTCCACTGGGTCACTGCCTATACTGTCAGGCTGACGTTATGCATTTTTGCATCTGCATTATTGTGTGCGAATGATTGGGTCTGATATGTTGAAAAAATCAAACTGGTAAATTTTGTAAGTTTTCAGTTGGACTGCCTGCATCCATCTTCATTAATCATGCCCCAATTAATTCATAGTGCATCGAATTAGGTAACTATTTTATCCCATGAAAGTATTCAAGTCTATCCTGATCCTTGCCATGAGCAATATTCCAAATTCAGAGAACACAACATTGCATCGTGGCACACGTCTACTTGATCACACGCTGATAAAATCTCACCCTATTTTTATGCATGTTATAAGAGCTACAGGCACGGTGCAGCAAATCTAAGCTGTGTTGGCAGCGAAGGTATTGGGAAAATTTCCCAACCTGGCTTCTGAAGCCCTACGACAAAGAAGCAGTGCTGGCTCGGTTATAAAAAAAACCGAACCGCAGCTCTAGTCCCCACCATTTGATTAAACTCTTTACTCTCGCATGCTTAAAAGTTACTGCTGATTTTGCTCCATAGTTTTCATATTATTTCCATTCCCATAACTTTGATTTTTGTTCTACCTAACCGTTAATGAATTACCTCCTTATTTTGGGGTGCTTGCGTGTTTTCACTCCTTTTTGAACGCTGTGGCTCGCCCGTCAAACCTGAATGCAAGGTTCCCGCAATGGATTCCAAATTAAGGTAAATTTTCTTCACAAAAAAATATTTCGATATGCGTTTCGTAATCTGTTCTATTAATCACTCTTACACTTTTGGAAAGTTTAATGGTATTATTGCAGATTAACTACATCCAAAAAAAAGGGTGTTTTTTTTTAATTATATGTTTTTTGGGGTGTAGATTACGAATCTGAAATCCATTTTTGGCGGTCGGCATCGGAAAACCGATTTTTTGCAATAATACCGAGTAACGTAAGTTACGTAACCCCCATGTTAGTAAGTCGCGAAAAAAATCGGTTTTCCGATGCCGACCGCCAAAAATGGATTTCAGATTCGTAATCTACACCCCAAAAAACATATAATTAAAAAAAAACACCCTTTTTTGGATGTAGTTAATCTGCAATAATACCAGTTTAATTTCGGTTAGCGGGTCACTCTTCAACATTTAACTTTTGCTCCTTAAATCTAACTTAATTGTCAGAGTGTCGCAAGTATGTAACTAGGGTGACTTAAAATTCGGAATTGTGGCGACTCGATCTTAAATTCTTTATCTATCACGGTTTTAAAACACTTTAAGTGTAGCCGTGTCTAAATACTGTGTTTTATACATACTTCTTCATTTGTCCACTTTCTGAGGACTTTGTTCTTCACCACTCGCCTCACGTCCGGATCGACCGGCAGCAGGTTTATACATACTTGCTATCCCGCAAGTATATCTCGCCTGTGAATCTGCACCATTGTGTATGTGCACTTATTTCTGGTTAAATAACGTGAGCCTTCAGCCAGGTTCTTCTTGAGTTTGTAATATTCGAGATTATTAAATGCTTAACCAATGTTCGCTCGTCAGTGCGGACGTAAGTTCATTTCTCACTCACGCCCACGGTACCTTCATCTTCAATCGGCCTCCGTTCAATTCCTGGACTTATATTATCTGTCTGCTTAAAACGCAAGCTCACAAGGAATTTAAAAGCAAAGAAAACGCCGAGCAAATTCACCATATCGATATTGAAAACGTTTCGGAGTCCAGCTCCATTATCAGTTTGACAATCTAAAAAAATAAATACAATCAGTTTATAGTTCTAAATTCTAAGTCAGACATTAAAACCAAAAAAGACATAAAACACAAAACAACCTTAAATCGAAAACCAGTACTCGCGGAACACAGTCATTGGAGACACGGAAAGGATAAAACCTAAGAAAATAAACTAAAACACATATGGGCAGAGTGGCCCAGTGGTTGAATTCAGAGTACCAAGATTGGAGCAGAGAGGTGCAGGTTCGATCCCAGCTCTGTGCGCCAGTTTCTGGTCAGAATCGACAATTGGAGGTCGGGCGGTTAAGCAGAGAAAATTTGAAACGGTGAGTTGCGAGTTCAAGCCCGCAACAAGCTGTGGATGTTCTGCAATGTCGAGAATCGGCGACAGCCGACAAGGCTACGGCCTAATAAACGCTAAAACCGCTATATTATTATATTATGAAACATAAAAGCCTAGCGATTCACTATTTCAGGGGGATAGGAACTGAACGCATTATTGATACACCGTTTTCGTTTGAACATATGTATAGACTCCAAAATCCTCAAATCCGAACTGCCAGAGGTGGAACCGAGTAGCTTGAGAAAATATTAATTAACATATTAGATCTGAATGCGCATGTTTTCACCGGAAAACTAGTTTATGATGAAACAAGTTTTTCGACCGCTTTGTCAATTGTAAATGCAATATAAATTATTTTATTATATTAATCCACGCTCGATACACTGCTCATTTTTCTATACTTTGTTAATAAGAAGTCGTCACTTTATAACGCTATCGGGTGTTATCTAAATTTCATCGCACCCCCGGGACTGAACATATCCACGTCATTGAGATGTCAAGTGTTTCGCCACGCGTTGTTGTTGGTCTTATTTGATAAAATACCTTATAGAAGCTGTCCGATCTGACATTATAACTAACAGTATAATGCTGTGAGATAATGCCGGTTGGGCAGCAATAAATGCTTTCACATAGATAAGAAATTGAGATAAGAAAACAAACTTGTCCGGAAATTTTGTCACTTTCGGCGTACATGTAGTCAGTGTGAGGTTGCTGTGAGCAAGTCATGACAAGTATTGGGCAAGCTCCTGTCTTGTTCACATTTGTCGTGAGTACTGAGACCTTTATATTATTTCAAAATTATTTGAAATAAAAGATGGTGAATTTGAAATGGGATTTTCATCCGTTTGTTTGTTTTGTCATGAACTCGTATTTTAGTGCCTGTAGCAGGATACAACAATGCGACTGGGGATTTTTCATCCCAACGTCTGCATATAGAAAAACTTGGGCATGTGTGATCAAATGAAGTTAATCAGATTTCAGTAAATAATTGAAAAGAACCTGAATTTTTCATATGGCCTTTTTACGTAGAAGTTTCATTAGTTTTATTTGGGGTGAATGCAAAGTGCAGGTGTCCCTCGGTAAAGTTCGATCCCCATATACTAAGATTTTGTTTTGTATCAAGTTACCGGGTTCCTTTTATAATGAAATGATCTGTATTCGGTCCGATAACTGTAAAAATCAACTTTTAAAATCATTTAAAACTTCTTTATTACATTTGATGGCTCGAATTTTTAATTTACAAATGACGATTTCATTTAAATCAAGGCAATAACTGCTAATACATCTAACTCGCCTCACAGTTGAAATGCAGTCATTTTCAAACACTAAAGCCCCCACATTTAAAATCTGGCGGTAATTCGAAAGTACTCGTAGATTTTCCTCATTATTCCTCGCCAATCGAAATGAATAATTGTCAAATTTAATCCTTGATTTCTAATGCTATATTTAAGAATTGCTAAACTCATTCGTACTCCGTACATAATATTTACAGTTCATTGTGAACAAAGCAATAAAAGCAGCTGGTGGATGTTTGTTATCAGACACATTTTATCGCGATAGCGGTTTTTAAGCAATTTTTACGGTAAAATAATATTTTTTTTATAGATTACATTGAATAAATTTGATTCGAGCTTCCCTATATTTTCTTCATTTTGCGTTTCAATTTCCACCCGCATCGTTTTTATTAAAAATAAATCGTTACTGAAACCTGCCTGCGTATTTGTTCTAACATTTTACATTTTTAATTCAATACACAACATTTATTGTTTAAAATACCAACGCGCAGTACCAAACATTCATTGATATATACTTCATATTCGTTTGACAGCGACTTCTTATCGTGACATGTCATATTCGTTTGACAGAGACTTTATCATGCCATGTAACCCTTAACTGTCAGCTATCGATCAGCAAAGGTTTAATTTCTTGACAAGCTTGAGCCTATAGATTTCTACGCGTCAAAACAACAAGAGCAATTCTTTGTATTCGAGTCTATAAATACGAGAAAATTATCAAACTCAAAAGAAATTCATTTACTGACTCCTAATTTTTCGAACAAAAAATATCCTATGTGCATGACATGGATAATCTATTTTTTGTGTTATAATCCAAAAATATTATTAGTCCACCACTTTCATACGTTGAAAAATTAGCAGCATATATAGTCAGTCATACACATCTTTCAGGACAGCACACGCTTTCGGAATATTTTAATACTTGTGTCTTAAATACTATATTTTTAGTACACGAATTTATGGAATGGAGATAATATAGATTTTTAAAATAAAAGGCTTCAATTTTGAGTGTAGACTATTAGAGTTTCGAATAAACGGGACCATGCATTCCTGTTCTATTCTAAGCCACTTAGATTCACGCTGTCGGCACTAAATATCTACTAACAAAATTTAATGGTGTCCTTAAACGGCGATATCGAATTCATAAACAGCGCGTTTTCTTTAAAATAATGTGGGCATGGAATTGTTTCATGTTTAAAAAGAATTGATTAAGCGCATCTGGTGAGCTATTACAGACCAAAGTAAAAATAGGTCACTTATTCGCCGGTAAATTGCTCTTATCTTTTCACCTCTTGATGCATATTAAGCCGCAATCCATACTGATATGTTCTTATAATTTATTAATATTTATTTTTTTTTGCAAAAAGACATGAAAATTCCACTTCTGACTATTTACAAATTGACGAGAATAGTGGAGAGGAAGTTGTGCGCTCTGTACGTAGCAATCGTCATCATGTTAGCTCCGATCTCGAGATAAGATAGCGCCATTTGTGTTACCCAAGTCGTGGATTATCGCGCATTATTCGGGAGCACATTTTTTCTAATAACGTACTATTTATTTGGGACTTGTGCGTTTCGGGTGAAATTATATATTCAAAGGAGGGTATCTACTCTTGGAGGGTAAAATACTCTAAATACTATTATATTAAATAGTTTAAATTATTTGGCTACTTTTCGAAATTAGCAATAATTATTTATCTTCTTTAGCTTAAATATTTATTAATTCCATTGCTTTGCATTTCAACTTCCCACAGGACGTTAATAAAATTCTTTAAACCGCTTAACAGTTATTTTTTGGCTTTTATAATCTTTGTACAGAATTTAGAGCATTATCTGCTAATGATGAATATAATAATGCGCTCGGATGTCGGCTCTTAACAATAGATCAATTATCCATACAACATGAACACATTTTATATCCATTCGTCTCTGCTGGGTAGACTTAGATAATAATAGGAACGTCAAGTCTTTTTATCAAATTATTCCGTTGTAGATTTGTGCAAAAGTTGTCAGTTACTTATTGAACATCACATGCACCTTTTACAGACCGACCTGCGACAACTCATCTTCAATACTTTTACAGAGATCATCGTACAGAGACCATCGTACAGAGACCATCGTACAGAGATCATCGTACAGAGATCATCGTACAGAGACCATCGCGCAAAAATCATCGTACAGATACCATCGTGCAGAGATCATCGTACAGAGACCATCGTACAGAGATCATCGTACAGAGACCATCGCGCAAAAATCATCGTACAGATACCATCGTGCAGAGACCATCGTACAGAGACCATCGTGCAGAGATCATCGTACAGAGACCATCGTACAGAGATCATCGTACAGAGATCATCGTACAGAGACCATCGTCCAGAGATAATCGTACAGAGCCCATCGTACAGAGATCATCGTACAGAGACCATCGTACATAGACTGTCTTACAGAGACCATCGTACAGAGATCATCGTCCAGAGATCATCGTACAGAGACCAACCATCGTACATAGACTGTCTTACAGAGACCATCGTCCAGAGATCATCGTACAGAGACCATCATGGCCATGTCGGAGAACACGAAGCCCGGACTCTTCGTAGGACTGTTGGTCGTGGTCTGTGTAGTGATCACCGTGTCGATTATTGTGACCAGAGATCCTGTACCCCAGCCCGAGCCCCTGTAAGTTGCGGTGGCAAGACACTTCATCATACAATACATTTTATCATTATTGCAATTCATCTTACAATATATTTTATCTCTATAGCACTTAATCATTACTATGACATTCCATCATTAAGCAATTCACTACGAATTTTCATCATTGCATAAAGTACATTTTGCAAATTCAAGACTATGTAGGTTACGTTAGGTGTTACCGTGTTAAATTGGTTAAGGATGAAATGATGAAACTCCCAATGATGAAATGTCTGTTATGCTGAGGTGCCAGGTAACTCTTAGTAGCGTGCCAGCTTTTCTAAGGGATATGTTATGTGCTCAAAGGTCATATACTAGAGTCCGAGCCCTTATGATTAGTATTGTAATTTGCTAAGTCTGTTGTTCAATCATATTTATATTCTATACGCCATGCTCAAAATAACTGAATTTTTATAAGTTTCTACGCGATAAAACCAAGCATCATAGTTAAAAGTAAGCAACGGAAATTAGCCCAGCTGTTTTCACCAATGCTTGTTGGGATCATGGTTGGCAGATGGCCTAACAAACGGCCTATAACAAAAAGGCCGAAAAAGGCCTATAACTCAATATATACCAGTATATTTGTAAGTTTCGGCTTAAAAATTCCATTTATTTTATAAGGAAGTAACCCTATCTTAAATTTTAGCTGGTCATGGCAATTAAAAAAACTAAATCGCGGAATTAGTCCGAAAAAACACCATCTGGCAACCTTGGTTGGGGGTAAGAGTAATAACCCTGTAAATGTTTTCCAACAGCTTCAGTCAGCCATACGAGTACGTGTGTCAAGATGTTACAGGCTCCGGTCCTCGGTGTGTCAAAGTCGTCCGAACCGACGACAGCAACGGCACCTCTCTGAACGTCTGCAAGCTCACGTGCGGTGAACGCAGGCTCATTTGGCCGTATCCTGTCTCTGTTGAAGGCATGGGAACCGAGGTGATTTTCTTACTCATGATGCAATACATAAAAAATTAGATCAGTACTCACTGCAGTGAGTGACAGAGAGCGCATTTTCTCGTCGAGACGGACGGACGGACATGACGAGCACAATAGCACCTTTTTCCCATAAATAAGAAAATGCGCTAGAAAGAGACGGTGTACTGACTATGAAGTACCAAACTATTTTTTAATAGTTTTTGAAACAGTATTTATTATATTTTATTTTATAATAACTGTTGAAAGTTTTCAACATCAACCGAAATTAATATCAAGAAAGTTATAGAGGTTACAGATATTTTTTGCGATATTTATTTTACGAAGAAGTATAAGTACCTCCGATCCAGATTAATATATGTTTGGAACACCTTTTTTTCTCATTTAAAAAATCATCCTCCAGATTAATATATGCATGGAAAACCTTTTTTTCTCATTTAAAAAAATCATCCTATATCGGAAAAACCTGTTCACTTTAAAAGTTGGATTAGTGCACCATGAAATAATTTTGTGGCCGTCATTTCAAGTAAAATTATCTAACCAGTTAATCAGCCGTTTATAGCTTCGAGTGTAAAGCTGAGGCAAATAACTAAATTTTATCGTTTCAGATGTCGCGGTTTATCCCGATCAATGTTATGTACGGTGACATCAGTTCCCATTCTACACAAATCCAAGATTTCATTAAAGAGAACTGGGAGGCATTCAAGGGTAACTTGGAAATGATTCATCCTGACTATGTCACCAATGGAGTTGGTGAATGGACTACCTCAGACACCTATAATAAATTCAAGGTATACGTAAATTTCATCATCAAAACGGGAGTATCAACCATCAGTCGAACCACTATCGAATCCTACAGCCTCAATATTTCATCAACCGCTGAACGCTCGACAGTCACCATAGAAGCCATCACTTACTTCGGAGCACGCCACGGCCTGGAGACGTTCTCCCAACTTCTAAACTATGATGCCGAAAACAACTGCCTTCAAATGATCAACTCTCTTGGGAGGATTTACGACGAACCTTTCTTTAGACACAGGGGTTTGTCGTTGGACACATCGCGTAATTACATCCCAGTCAAATCTATAAAGAAGACCATCGACGCAATGGCAGCTAACAAACTCAACTATTTTCACTGGCACATCACTGACACTCACTCTTTCCCGTTCAAGATGGAATCATGGCCTCAAATGCACGAGTATGGAGCTTATTCGCCTCGACAAGTATACTCGCATAAAGACGTTTCAGAAATTGTAAGGTATGGCAACGTACGGGGAGTTAAGGTGTACCCAGAACTTGATTCTCCAGCACACATTGGCAACGGATGGCAGTGGGGACCGACTCAAGAACTGGGCACTCTTGCTGTGTGCGTGAATCAGGTTAGAACTGCATGAGAACTAATTTTATTCGAGAGAAATGTGATTTGATTATTTAAGTTTATGAGAAATTTGTTCAGCTTGCGCTGCTAGATTTTCACTGCTTCTCCATTTCTATTTAGATGCCGAAGCTCAGTTAATTGCTATTATATTCAATAGCCGGCACTCCCGAACATAATTCTTTTACAAAGGACTATGTGCTCTAGCTGCCAGCTGAAATTTATGAAACATCAGGTAAAATATAAGGTAAGCAATAAAACAATAAAACAGTTGACAACATCAAGCCAATACTATTAAGTATGCCATGGAAATTGCAGCAATATAGTTTCTTAGTGAATAAAATTGAACTTCAATTCTGACAACTATCATGCCATAGTCCATTCCCACAACGTAACTGGGAGTTGTGAATTTTTTTTCTATAGAACAGCTTCTTGCCAATAGTAACGCTTACATATACATATGTATGTGCTATTTAGCTTCCAGTTCCGGTATTTCTGATTTGCGCATGTTAGAATCATTGTATATTTTTAAACAGTGGCCTAGTTTGAATTTAGCTTTTAGCTCTTACCCGCTTGAAATTGTAAATAGGTAGGTTTTACAGCTTAGGTTTTTCGTTGTATTCTTGACTGTACTAATCACTGATTTATCTGTGTTCTAGAATTTTCGAACTGTCGATGGAGCTGGACTCCGATACCGTTTTCTTTAAAGATACTATGAATTTTTGTGGAGTTGTCTTTGCTTTTAAGTTTTTAGTGAATTTGCGATTCAAGCAAACGAGTGATATTATTACTCATATGTATGTGGCGTTGTAACTAAACAATAATTATTATAATATTGCAGGTATGAAGAGAAAAAATAACCAATATAACATATTTACAGTCAAATAGTTTTATCTTGACTAAGTGTGCCTCGAGTATACCTGGTTGCTCCGTAATAAATTTATTAAATTGTGACACTATGACCAATTTTAATTATTGGCTTATTCAAAAGGCTACTGCAACGAGCTATTTTGTTGTTAGGGGAATATTTTGTGTTAATTTAAATCAACTGTGTTTGCGATGCTTGCTAAATTAATACACTGTTCCACGTCATTTTTTGTATGGTAGCGGTTTTTGTCAACTCGTCTTACTTGTTTCTTTATTATGCCTTCTATCGGAATAGAAATTTATTTCAGCTAAAATTAAATTGCAGATCGTGGCTTATTAAACGTTCTATGTGAACTTTATATTTTTCATAACTTAGGATTGAGTACTGACTACGTACTTTCGAAATTAATTGGGTTAATGGTTTTGCATGAATTACGACGTTTAATTACGTATCATTTTAAATTTGAATTCGAATGATTGTTTGATGAATACTTTTTCATACGAAAAATATAAAATAATTAAAAGCAAGAAAACTATGAATTTCATCATATTTTCAACATTAATTAACTTTTTTGCCTGCTTATCCTTATAATAGTGAATTTTGAGCTGACCATAAAGCGGGCCTCTGACATGTTTCCATTTAAGGTATGGTGAATTTTTGTAACATTTTTCTCGAATTCGTTATAGATTTAGAACTTCAGCGATGAATTGACGTAAATTCCGGAGTCTTATTAATAATAAGTATTAAAATTATTGTTTCATGGCCAGGAACCGTGGCAGTCGTACTGCGTGGAGCCGCCGTGTGGTCAGCTCAACATAGCAAACCCCCGCATATACGACGTCCTGGCCAGCGTCTACAAGGAACTCGCCGACGCCTTCAGCCCAGTGCAGTACTTCCACTTCGGCGGCGATGAGGTGACTCTTGAAACATACTGTTTATGTCTTGAAAATATTATAAAATACTATGTAAAATATAATATAAAAACAAAATAAAATATAATGCCGTTAAGTTCGGCGTTGCTCGGAATTAATATTGGTCTGAACCCCTTTGTTCCGAATCGCTGGACAACGTTTTAAACTCACTTATACGCAGTGTTATTTAAGTAATAAACAAGTCAAAACCCAGTTGCAACTACCAGTTTGATTTACTTAGGAGGAAATATACCAATTTAATGTACTTAAATTTGATGTACTTAAGTTTGATGTACTATGAGAAATTTTATTCGAGGATAAAATTGGAACTAAATTGACGTTACAACTGAAAAATAATCGAAAGTGAATCAATAGCGCTCCCTCTCCCAGTCTCCAACGTCTCATGATTCCATCATTAAAAATACAATCACAAAAATAAGCTAAATTCTATGTCAGACGCAGTCTATGCCTCAAATCGATGAGGTATTATGTGCGTGCAAAAAGCACAGCAATTCAGTTCTTTAGTTCACTAACATAAACAAACTTTTTGAATTATTAGATATACAAGAGATATCAAAGTCGTCTTTTGAAAATAGTAGGAGAAATTCGGTCGAATGATAGCTCTGTAAGAAATAGCAAGGCAGATTCCATTGAAAATTATGACATCGTAAAATAATAAATATTTTGACGATTCTATCGCGCCAAAACTTTGAAAGAGATTATAATGTAAATATTTTTTAATGGATCCAGAGAAGTTTCCATGGGTGCAATGAATTGGAACTTAATATTTTTGCATATTTTATTTTGCTCAACTAAGTATTTAACGGTATTTTAAAAATAATGCTTCAAAAGGTTATATGCCTGCAACAACAGAAGTTATTTGAATTTACTTAGGTTTCGATCGACTGCTGGAACTCGAGTGCCGAGATACGTGACTGGATGTCTGCAAAGTACGACAACGTCACGAAAGATAGCTACTTTGACGAGTGGGCTAACTTCCACAGTCGCTCAATGGAAATTTTCGAAAACGTTACCGGCATCACCGATGTCAAAGGTGAGTCAAAGATGTGGGATAAAAAAGGAGTTACTGGTGTCAAGGGTAGGGTAAAGGGGGTGGGGCAAAAAGGGGAGTACTGGCGTCAAAGTTGGTTCAAGGGTGAGGAAAAAATGGAGTTACTGGCGTCAAAGATGGGTCATGGAGGTGAGCGATATATCATGGATTTCACATGGTGAATCATGCAATATCACAGTCGTCCATGCAAATAGCTGCATGGACAAGCCCATATCGTGATTGATATTTGTTCTGAAGCAAATCTCTGTAAAATAATCTTTACTGATGGAGTAGAATTTAATTAAAAACTCAAAGCTTATCGTGTAATTCAGCGTAAGATTATGTTTTACAAAACAAGCATACCTAAAATCTGAGAGTTGATCGAAATCAAAGATAAAGTTTGACTTGAGACTAATAGTTATTTTGGGATTCTAGTCTTCACATGTACTTTTGTATATTTTCCATTCAAGTTAATTTCATGCTTTGATGTGATTGGCTTCGGGTGAGTTAATTGATTAAACAAGTACTCAGCTTACTTCAGATTTATTGTTTTTTACTGATGCGATATCAACAAGTAGCAGATGAATTAGTTTTTGAATTCATTTTCGATCTTACGTCAAACTTGCACAGGAATTTTGTGGACATCATCACTTACGGAGGCCGGCATGGCAGCCAAATACCTCGACCCTGAAAAGTTCATCATACAAATCTGGACGTACCAGAACAACAACGACAGCCTAGGAGATGTGGAGGACATCGCATCTAAAGGCTTCGAGTTGATCATCACTAATGCTGACGCGTGGTATCTGGACTGCGGAGTAGGAGCTTGGGTTGGGAATGGCTTCAATTGGTGTTCTCCGTACAAACCTTGGCAAACAGTGTACGACAACAATCCTCTTCTCATGGTTTCCCCTGAGTACCGTGATAAAATTATCGGAGGTGAAGCTGCCTTATGGACGGAACAGGCTGACGCTCAAACTTTAGACTCAAAGGTAAGTTTTCTGTGCCTCGAAGTTTGTATCGAACCTTGGTCTATTCATTACAACTCGTGTAATTTATTGCAATATTTTTTCTAAATTGTTAATATTTTCTTACGATGAATTACTACAACCCTCAGCTGTGGCCAAGAGGTGCTGCCCTAGCAGAGCGCTTATGGTCAAATCCTAATGGCACGTGGGCTGACGCAGAGCTCAGGATGATTCTGCACCGTCAACGCCTAGTGGAGCGGGGAATTGCTGCTGAGAGGTTACAGCCTCAGTGGTGCTTTGAGAACGAAGGATTGTGCTATATACTTTGATCCCGATTACATTTCACTCAACTTTATGCCAAAATTGGATAGCGTCATGCAAAATTTTCTATAACCGGTCAGCTTTTCCTCGTATTTATTATCAGATTACTGTAAAACTTGGTATAAGATTTCGGCTTCAGTATTGTATCGAAAGAAGACCTGACGCAACACCACCTAGACAAAGTTGCGTCAACATTAGCCGTAGGCAAATACCGAGCTCAACCCGTGCTAAGGTTTTGCAGCTTAACAAGGCAGTGATTATTATACGTTGTGTATTTAATTTCATAGTTAGGTGTTGCGAATTGACGTGCTTGGTTAGTAGCGAAACTGTTTTATTCTGTGCTCTGATTTATTTTTAGATTTCTTTCAAATTTAAAATGAATGTTTTAAGAATATTTTTATTCCAGTATACTGTCAAGAATATTAGTGACTAATTCACTTATTTATTGTTATTTGCCCCTCAGGGGGGTCTTCTGACGCGTGTCTGTGCTCGTCAGAAGTCCTATGGGATTTCGCGTTCCTAGGGGGATTGTTCCTGAGCGCCCCACCGCTGAGCTCGCGGTGTCTGACCGCTGGTCTCAGTTGTGGGGTTAAGTTATTATGTAGGTAGGATTCCTTACATTTCCCTTCTCTGTCTATTCGTCTCTTTGAGATGCTAACGCTGCTTCTTTCGAGCCAGCTTCAGCGGGCTGGACAGCTGAGACCTTCCGCCCCTTGTGGGTGATGAATAATTGAGACCTTCCACCTCTATGGTGATGTTCATCTTGACTTTCGGTGCGAGATAGCTAAATAGCTGAAGAGCTAGTAAACATTTGGCCACTAAACTAACTAACTAACTTATTGTTATTTGTTACGAACATTAGTTTTGGAGCCAAGTTTTTGCCTGCACACTCAGGTTTAAGGAGAGAACGAGAAAGGAGAATTCCCTGTGTTGGTGCTACCTATCCATCGATAAGGCGTACAACAGTCGTATTATTTAAATACATCCCGTAAATTTACAATGTATCCAAATGCAGCTCTGAACGATAAAAATATTTTGTTCCTCTGAGATGTGTTCCTATTTCTGGATTTATTAAAATTCCGATTTTGCTGTTTTAGGTAAGGTGGATTTTTATGATGGACTGTGGTGAATCATATTACAACTGTTACGGCATACTGGCGCCGCTCCGTAACATAATTGAGACGGGTAATAGTATAAGATTTAAATTTAATTTGATTTTAAACTGCAAACGATTAACATAGTGTGAACAGTATTTTCTTCATGCGAACAGTATTTTCTTCTTACTTACAGTAACATAGCCACGAATGACAATTTGAATTTTCATTCGTAGAATGACAATTGCAAACGAATTGACCTTGCATCAAGACTTAATCTAGGCTTAAAACAGCTTTACTTGTCTTCACTAAAAGGAAAGGCACGCCGTTCTCACGGTTGATGTCCGCAGATCGGAGCAGCAACATAGCAGCTGTAAAGGCCGGTCCACACGCTCAGTTTTCACAACGATTTGTCTGCGCAGTTTTAAGTTGGAATGAAATCGTTGCAATTTTTAGAGCGTCCACACGGTACCGACTTATTTGAGTAGTTTGCTCAGTTTTGCGCGATCTCGCCATGGAGACGTCTCGGACAAATTTTACGGCGGGTCTCCCCAAATTCGGTGAGCATAGAATATGTATCTCCCAAAGTAATGAACGTAGCTCGATAAAACTTGGTACACATATTCATTAGGACTTAACGGTGATGTTTAGCTCGTGAACATTTTTATAATTTCACCTTCATTCCTGAGTTATATGACGATAAGTGCCGAAATTTGCAGTGAGCATGATATTTCTTCTTAACTACTGTACAGATTTGAACGAAACATTGAATATAGAAACCTAACCTCCCAACGGCGATGTTTAGCTCGTGACAATTTTTAGATTAGATAAAGCCGAATAACTCTCAAACGAAGGCAAAATCGGAAAAAATTGTCACATGCTAAACATCACCGTCAAGTCCTAATAAATACGTGTACAAAGTTTTATCGAGCTACGTTCATTACTTTGGGAGATATTCCATGCTCATCGAATTTGGGGAGACCGGCCGCGAGTCCGGCCATAAATTTATCCGAAACGTGCCATGGAGAAGGCAGTATTTTCATAAATTTTGGCATTGTGCGTTGTCAAAAAAGAGATTGGATCATTTAGGGATTGCGAGGAATCAAAATACAAGAGAGATGGCTTGTAGATGTCTTCTTTTCCAGGTTCAGATGGAATCGATTTTTTTATTCATTCCCAATTATTTACGGTAAATGCTCAGCTTATTTTACAGCTGTTTCTATGTTTGCGCTTTCATCAATTTCTTTGAATTTTTCTACTAAGCCCTCGTATGTCTCCAATTTTTTTGTCCCGGTTACTATAGTCCTTGAATTTTACTCGCCAAATGCAAGAAAAACTTTCGTATATAAGGGCAATAAATTCCCGAGAACATTACCGAAGGTCGGCCATTGTCGCCAGAATCGTTGAAACTGAGCGCAAATCGAATCGGAAAACTGTGCTACCGTCTACACTCTACACGTTCCGATTTGTCTGCGCAGTTCATCGAAATCTATGCTCTGTAGCTCAGATTTCGATGCAACTGCGCCGTTTTCCCGCCGGCTTCAAAACTGCGCAGTTTTCCCGTCCACACGCAACGTTTTACCTGCAACGATTAGAACTGCACAGACAAGTCGTGTAAAACTGAGCGTGTGGACCGGCCTTAATACCTCTTGGTGTCTACAAGGTCCAGTGTGGTTGTCACGAGAAATACAGTGTTTGTAACAGAGATAATGAAGGTGTGTTACTAGGAAGGGTCATTCTCGATCATTGGACATCATCAGAAGCGCTGAATTCACCGCCACATTCAATAATTTTTTGTGGCGCCGATTTCGTATTGCTTTACTAAGCGAGATAAAAATCTTACCTCGTGCAAACTCACCTTCGCCTGGTTTCGAAATACATGTAGTCTTCAAACCTTAATTGATGCTGAGAGTGAATAAGTTGAAAATTTATCGACGAGAGACACAAGAAGATCAATGGAGCCGACTAAAAGCGTTGTCTAATTTTTCATTTACTCCTGAATTGTTGGATCCTTGTGAGAACCTAAGCTCAAATAATATGCCTGTCAAATGAAATTGAGTAAATGCGCGATTTCTATTCAATTTGGTATATCTGTTCCATCTCCGAAACGAAATTTTTCTTTCGACTTGCCACTGTTGTTGGAAATTTCCACATTTCTTAGGTTGTAAATTTGTTCTTTTTCTTCATACCTATTGTTTGTTTAATTATTGGTTTGTAAATAATGGAGTCGTCAGCAAGACTACGAGGTGAGAACGTCCAATATTAATGCTGCTCCGGTTGTAGTGTGTCAAGCCATCCCTTCCTAATTGCTATTTATTGTTATGAGTGATCACTCCTTGATTTTAGCTTTATTTATTTTATAGCAAGTGCATAATTGCTCTTCTTTAATGAGAAGAGGGCCGACTCCATATTACCACCACCTAGGTAGCTTAATTTCAGGAACTTAGCCTCGTTCCTAATTTCTTTATGCGTCTGCTTTCTCAAGCTTTGGACCAGTCGTCTTCTGAGATATTGTCTTTGATATCTACAAAAATTGCACATTCTTATTCAAAATAAAAAAATTAAATGGTGATTCTAATAAATTGAACCAAATAAATTACCACCTATCTTACATTTTAATTTCTGACTCCACACTCCAGGAGAATAAGAAAGGATTGACTACTAGGAACTTAATAGGCTTTATTTAAAGGTTGAAGTAAAGTATCTAAACTGGCTCGCATCCAAGGCTGGCCACAAACGTCGCACAAGCAGGTAGACAAACCCCAACTTGAGAAATTTATGTGAAAAAATGAATCAATATAATAATATCAGTGATATAACAAAAATCTGTGGAATGCGATAGTTATCAACGGACCAGTCCTAAAGGGTCATCCAGTTTTAATTTAATAAATTTGCTGGAAGCGAGGTAAGCAAGGTTCTGGCCACGGAACAAGCTTCACCTCTGACGTCTCCGAAGCTTGAAGAATGTAGCGCAAGCATGCCACCGCGGCCGAGCAGAGAAAGTTCGGAGCCCCTGGTACGAGAACCACTCTCCCGTTGAACTACCACGAAGTCTCGGAGCCCCAGGGACGGGAACCACGCTCTTGATGAACCATCACGACGTCGACCTATGCAGAGAGCAGAACTGTGGTCATACTAAGATGCTGCAGGAGTGCTAGGCAAAGTTCAGATCAAGCGGGAGCACCGAGCGGTTAGAGTGGTGTGGGAAATCTGAATATTCTTGCTACAGTGATTCTTCTTCAGATTCGGCTTGAGGACGGCCATAAATGCGGATTACTATAACTGATAAATTTAAATTTTAAATTCCACATATTTTTGTATACTGGGCCCGCCGCTGGGATATCGGCCGTAAGCGCCTAGAGTTCAAGCTAAATTTTCCCGAGCAAGGTATGCATTACGCTTAGTGCAGCAAGGTATGCTGCTTTGCGTGTTGAAGTTCTCTGTACGCGCTTATAGGGGCTATTCCTTCTACAACCTTTTGACCGGGTTTCTAACCGCGCTCTAAAAATATTACTACGGCAGTGCATGACGTGACTACGAATAGTTTCGCCGTTACTTTGCCGAATGGTCACCGTTACGACCTCGTCAAAATCATTCTTTTCTACCGAACTTCACCTCGCGTTGCCTTTAAGCTATGTCGAGAGCTGTACGTTCTGGTGGACGCGTGTTTAGTAACGAATAATGAGGATGCTATAATGGTTCACAAGAAGACGCTGAAATATAGTTACTGATACTAGCAAATGTACAGTAAATTATTGCTCAAAAAATTAGCAACCGTTCTGGCCGGCCCATTGCCAGTATTCTTTCAAAAACCTTGAACGAAGGAACTTTGCCGTCCGACTGGAAAGAGCTCAAGTAACACATTGTTCAAAAAAGGTGACAAAAGTAGCCCCGGCAACTAGCGCCCTGTCAGTCTGACAAGTGTTGTTTGTAAGCTAATGGAATCTGTTGTGAGGGATAGGATTATCGATGACTTGACTGCTCACCATCTCATATCAGATTGTCAACATGGTTTTATTGCCGGCAGATCCTGCACCACTAACTTATTATCTACGTTGAACGATTGGACTCGCCTGCTGGACGAAAGGGAGCCAGTGGATGCATTGTACCTCTATTTTGCCAAAGCATTTGACAGTGTTCCGCATGAGCGGCTGTTGCGTAAAGTGAAGTCCTTGGGAATTGAGAGAAACGTACTCCAATGGATCAGAGATTTTCTAGTAGGTACACGACAACGTGTCAGTATTAACGGAACCGTGTCAGACTGGGCATCAGTGCGCAGTGGCGTGCCACAAGGAAGCGTTCTTGGGCCTATTTTGACTAGATAAAGCTATGGAAAAATATATGTTCAGATTTGAAATGCCTAGCTCCTAATCGAACCCGGTGGAAGTCT